AAAAAATGTACAGTATATTTCTAATCAGTATTCATTCAATAGCTTTATTTCTGAACTTGGTTAAAATCTAGCAGAGCAAATTAATAGGGTAAATATTTGTTTACAATATTCTGCTATATTATAGCCTGGCAATTATTCATTTTTGGTTAACATTATCAAGGTTGCAACAACACTGGAACAAGATAACTTTGTTCTGGATGATCCTAGTGCAAATATCAATATAGACACTTCAAGTGATAATGTTGAACAAATCAACTCTGCTCAGTGAAATAAATATAACTGGAACGCTACCTTCTGACAGGAAGTTGAAGCTAAGTCACACCCAGTCTTTACACGCAAAAACAAACACGGCCAAAACAAAATGTTTTTTTGTGATTTCGTAAATTTGATAAAAACTCCCCGAAAAATTTTTTTAGGGAGTTAAATAACTGATTTTGTTAGTGCTTACAGCCGGCTGAGACATTCTTGATGTTGGTAGAATGCATTTTATGGACCTATTATTGGAAATGCGGAGTAAGACGGTTCTTTGCTAGGAAAAAGCGTAGAGCCTAGCGTGACAATGCAGGAATATTTGTTTTACTTTACAATTAATACAACTTTTTTGCCATCTAGTCACTTGAAATTAAGTAAATATAAACTTATAATATTGAACAATGTCTACCAAGTGTATTTTGCGATGAAATTTTAGCTTTAGGATATCCGTTGCGTACAAATATTGTTGTCAAAATTGCACATCGCTATAAACTTGTTCCGTTTAAGAAAATTTGTTTCCAATCTGATCGGCAACTCCAGTTGTAATTCGTAAAACAGTTCACCTGGTTGAATTTAAGAGTAATTCCATTGTAATTCCATTATAATTCCATAAAAAAACCCATTTAAAACCATGAAACAAACAAAAAATCAAATTTCTTTCAAATTCGCTCTGCATCTGCAGTGTCTCGCGAGTCACGCGCGAATGAAGCCAAAAATTTGCCAAAATTTGCGAGACTTTACCTCCAGACACGCGTGTCTGGAGGTAAAGTCCCGCAAATTTTGGCTTCACAAAAACAATGAGGAGGTATCGTTCCAGTTATTTATTATAGTTCACTGACTCTGCTTTTACAAGCGTTAATAAAATTACATCAGATAAGGAGGTTCAGACATGCAATGAACATATTACTATGTTAAGGACTATTGGAACCCAAACTGAAAATGTCCATGCAAGAGGAACTACAACAACACACCCTGATGATATAAATAAATTAACTCATCTGGAAGATCACAGTTATTCCTTAGGCCCAAATAATAATCATTCAACAGATAAGAGTAGGCAAATTGTGGAACTTTGCCCAACATTATACACTGCTGTCTCTAATGCACAATTGCTTGGTCCTGGTGTTGTAGAAAATGAGGTAGCTGTTGAATCAACAAACCAAGCAGATAATGATAGTTGTCTGAGTGATAGCAGTTCTTTATATTGTCCTTCAGCTTCTGATAATGAGTCTGAAACAGATGATGAATGTTCCAGTGATACTGCACATTACCTGGAAAAAAATTTATAGTGTTTGAAAGTCAGCTATGTAAACTATTTGAAACTTGTCAACATTGTGGTGGCCCAATTGACACAACAACCAAAAAAGATCATGGAAGTATGGTCACAATTACAGCAAACTGCATTAATGGACACACTGTTTCCTGGAAATCGCAACCTGAAATTAACGGCAGTGCAGCAGGAAACCTTTTGATTCCAGCAGCTATCCTATTTAGTGGCAACACATACAAACACACTTCAGACTTTGCTCAACACCTCAACCTTCAATTTATTAGTTCCTCTCATTACTATAATGTACAGAAAGCCATATTATTCCCAGTTGTGGACCACACATGGAAAACAACCCAAACAGCCATAGTGAAGCAATTAAAGAAAACCCGCAGTATAGATGTATGTGGTGATGGGCGGTGCGATAGTCCTGGGCATTCAGCTAAATACGGCACTTATACCCTCATGGATGAGAACACAAACTTGATAATTGAATTCAGCATTGTGCAAGTAACAGAGGTTACTTCATCCAATGCAATAGAATATGAAGGTTGTAGAAGAACGCTGAATTCAATTATCAAGAAGAAAATCCCAATCCGGTGCCTTACAACAGATCGCCATACAACAATAACAGCAAAAATGCGAACAAACTATTCAAAAATTGAACACCAATATGATGTGTGGCATTTAAGTAAATGGGTCACCAAAAAGCTGACAAAGAAGGCAAAAAAGAAAGGGTGTGAAGAGTTGCTGCCATGGATACAGAGTGTGTCTAATCATTTGTGGTGGTGTGCTGCAACATGTGATAAGAATGCCAATATCCTAAGGGAAAAGTGGCTATCGCTGTTACAACACATCACTGGTAAGCATAGTTGGAGGCTCTCTAAGGAAATTAAACTAATAAAGAAATGTGGACACCCTAGGCTGACTGCAAAAGACCAGAAAAGCATCATATGGCTGAAAAATGGTTCACTTGCTCATGTTGCCTTAGAGGAAGTTGTGACCAACAAGAAGCTGCTGAAAGATATTTGTAAGTTGACAGAGTTCCGTCGCACTGGTGAGTTAGAGTCCTACCATTCTGTTATGACAAAATATGTACCAAAACGTGAGCATTTTTGTTACAACGGAATGATAGCTCGAACTCAGTTAGCTGTCTTAGATCACAATGCAAATGTGGATAGGAGTCAGGCAGAAGTCATGAAGGGCCAGAGCAAAGGTGAGAAGAGGTACAAGGTTGTTTGTGGCAAACAGAGGAAGAATTGGGTGGCCAAGGAGATCAAGACCCCAAAGTCCTACAGCCATGTTATGGGTATGATGAATGATGTCATTTTGTACAAGGAAGGCAAAAAAAAAATTAAGTATAAGCCAACTACCCAAGCTAAATGCATAGCACCAACTCCCAAGCCACCAAAACAAGATGTTATTGAACAACACAAAACCAGATTGAACCAAAAACAGTGAAATACTTGTTGTTTTGGTGAACTGGGAGTCTTTGTGTATTGTGATAGTGAAGTCAAATACCTCAAATATTAACACTGTAACAATAAAGCTATTCATCAGGAAAATGAAATCCAACAAACACAAAGTCATCTTCATCACCTGGTGGTGGATAGTGTGCTCGAATACAGCTAACAGCACAAGATGGAAGAACAACTCGTATTTCTTTCCCTATTACTCCCCAACACCATCGTACTAGCTGACGGTACGCGACATGCCGAAAGACTTTGTGTTCGGGACCTTCATAGGCTCTACTTCCATACTCCTGTTTGTATTGTAACCAAGCAGCCTGAAAAACCTATCGATTTAAACAGACTACTTGAAAACCAGGATTATCTGTTATGCAGTGATGTGGCATGGTTGGCTTTTCGTGTAGGAAAACCTCATCATTTTTATAAGCGACATGCTCAATTTCATGGCAGCAAACGCATTCTTCCTCCCTATCCATTATCTGGCAATGTCCGCATAAACACCTAACAACAAATGATTATGCTGGCAGTGATACGCTTAAAGGGCAAGAAGACTTAATTTGCCAAATATAAACCAAAAAGGTACGGTGTTTTACCAGTCAAGGTTACCCAAATGTTCCTCATTGTCAATCGACATACGCTCGTCTTCTATGTCAGCCGATGATTCACCACTATTGCCGTTGGAATCTCGTCTTGGTTCGAACTGATAGCCCAGGACATCGCCCGCTTGTATAATATTCAAATGAAATTCGTCTAAACTCTCACCTGAGGAACTAGAACTGCTTGAATCTTATGAATTCTCCATTGAGGAACTTAAAATGTTGGCATTCGTGACAAACTCTATACAAAACACTTGAAAAGCGAAGCAACAACAAGCGTCGAAGCACGCAATGACGTCAAAAATGAGGGCGCTGACCGAATTCGCGTTTGCACTGGAAATAACAAAATGGCGTTGAAATATGCAAAAATCGCGAACTTTGACGAGCGATTTCTGCTTTACTATAAAGAATTAGACCGAAATACTTCAGGAACAATCTGTTCAAGGTATCATCTTTCAGATAAACCAAACTTGTTTTGGGAGTGGAGTTCCCCTTTAAAGTCGCCGGTTAGCAATATGCCACATCCTGGGTAAGTGCTTTCTGCAGAAATAAGTGTGGTTGTTAGGAAATCTAACATCGTTCTGTCGTCGGAGCTTAGCGGATGGTATACAATTCCCAGGATAATACAGGACATACCACGGGGTAGTCTGCGGGGCCTAAGATAAGACCAGAGCACCTCCATCTGGGGGTCTTCGAATTCAAGTAAGCGTTTGTATGGAATTGGGGTTCTAACGTATAAGCACACGCCTCAATGTAATTGAGAAACACGGTTTTTAAACATGAAACTATAACCAGGGATAAGGAGATGTTCATTGATGATTAGATCTTGTAGCCATGTTTCGGTGAGGCAGACTAAGTCAGGATTCTCCTCTCGGATAACACAGCAAACCTCGTCAATCATGGGTAAAAGGGACATAGTATTTGCGACCAATAGACTAGGACCGAAGTTGTAGATCGTTGAACATGCGCCTTTGGGAGGGTAACTACAATTTGTCCGTTCATGGCTTCTTGTCCCATTTAACGGTTTATAATTCAAGGTGCCCTATTACCAATACTGACAACTGGGATATTATCTCAGGGTAGTTTATGTTCGTGTTATCCTGTAGACCGTCTTTAGATAGTCCGTCTATTCTTTTTCCTGAGAGCGCTTCCGAAAATTTGCTGCTTTGCTATGTTTAATGTGGTAGATAAGTTCTAGATGTGTTGTATTACGCAGTGGGAGATTAGGTTGCCTTCTTGTTGACTTGATAGGCCTTTTTACCCTTTGACTGAATTCTTTAGATGGTTGTACTTTGTTACGTGAGCCTAGCTTTCTCTGAGTTGATGTATTCGAAGCAGTATAATGAAGCTTGCCAGATTTGTCCCGATACGGGAAAGGAGGTCCCCCAAAGAACTGCGAGGATTCATATGTAGGTCGATGGGTTGACTCGAACGATTCTGTCACGCTGGACTCATCAGGAAGTTCCTGATGGACGTTTGATTTTCGGGTAGCACTAACAGACTTTTTAGGATTAGGAACGTCTGACTTAGTTGGTGAATATATTAAATCAATCAGTGGTAACCTGTCGATCTTTAACGGTATCTGTGTTATATGTTTGCGGAGTTGGCTTTCCTCGGAGACTTCATCCAGGTTATTATGGTCACCTTTAGCAGAGTTCTTGCTTAGCTTTAAAGTTGAAATCTCATTGCTACAAGGAGATGGCTTCATGTTAGGCGTATAGTGTTTAGTTCTGTGCTAAAATTTAGGTTCTTACGTTTTAAATGATCGACTTCGATTGGGCTATTACGAGAGGCTAAGACTTGTTGGTTCTGCTGGTTTGAGCTTAAGTAATTCATCTTGACGGGATCACCAAATTCGTTGGGTAGTTTTAACTGTGGTGAGGTTTTGCTTAGATTTGACTTAAGGGATTTGGCTGAATAGATTTGCATAATTATTGCCCTTAACGATTCGTTATTTGTTTCAGCTGCTTTTAGATTGTTCTCAAGGGAGGCAATAGTTTTACTTAATTCATTTATCTCTTGGTTTCTTCCACTGATTAAAGTGGATATATCGCTCTCTAGTTGATTACACTTTCTCCTTTCGTTATCGAGATCTCCTTTAAGACTGATAACTTCGTCTTTCTCCCGATCACTCATAGTTACCGATATCTTCGACTCTAATTTCCTATTGATAATGGCCATATCAAGCTTGACTCCCTCAAGCTCAGCAGTCAGGACGTTACAGCCACACACCGGGTTGTTTAATTGACAAACAGACGGAACCAATCCAACATTTTTATGTTCCTTTGCTTGGGCATCGATCACAGATAGGTGGTCGCTTGTTTGTGTTAATAGGTTAAGTATTGGAATCGGATTTAAGTTCTTAGTGTCATGCGATTTGAATACATTTCTATTGTCGGCTCTCAAACGTTCGCTTACGCGTGCACTCATACAATCCTCGCCCGTACTCACAATTCCAGTATTACTTGAGTTTTCTGTACAGAATCTAATACAAAATTTATGTAAGGTATCACCGTCCTTTCCTTGAAAGGTCAAGGAGTTTTGTTTGTCCGGGCACCATACGAAGCTAAGGTCGAAACAAGAGCTTTGAAATTTTTTCCTTCTGCCACCGGGCGAAGTCCATTTGCCCTCAAAATGAAAGGTGTGTGATGTTATTTGCTTCAATAGGGCTAGATCTCCGTTCCATTTGACGCTCTTTCCATCATAATTGAACTTAGAGAGGTTCTCTTCTGTTAAAGCAACTAAAATAATTAATGATTCTTAACCAATTTGGTATTTTTGATTATTCTGCTCGCTGTGCTGTGAGACACGTCCGCACACCGCCATGTTTAATATGAACCGCAGAACAAACTTGTCTATCATATCATTGTGTTGAAGATTCTGAGTTTGTTGCGGGGTGACAGGGCTGAGGAGCTCCAGATGAGACGTAGGAAGTTGTTAGCAACATAAGCACTGTTTAATGTCATTACTAGAAATACATGCATCTACCACCCTTGCCATTTTCAACCAAGAAAATAATCTCCTAGCCAATTTTATAAAAAAGTTGTGTGAATTTGCAATTAAATTGCTGACGTTATTATTGAAATACAAATTTCTGACTCAGCCAATCAGAAACTTGCTGATTAACGGTTTCCACTCATTCAAATTTCGCGCATGCCCATAACTAACAAAACCATTTAACGTCCATGACATAGAATTTTCACAACTTTGGATTCCGCTATGTTCTGTCACAATATCCTAGTGTAATTCCTAATTAATTCTTGCACGGTGCTCCTCGTAATCCTCGCATGGTGCTCAGTGCTCCGCACCGGCTCGGGGATGATAGAAAAGCATATCTTTTCTGCCAGTATTCAGCCATAAAACCAGTCGCACAGCTTGAAACAATAATTGCATTAGCGAAGTAGATCCGCCACTAGAATTGGGGGAGATATTCATATGTTAATATCCGCTTACCTTTAAGGCCGGCGCACACTAGAGCTATGTGCTTAGCAAAAAGTCATTCGTGACCATTAGCGTAAGCCAGTTGCTATCGTCATTCGTGCCAAAAGTCGCCGGAAAAGTCGCCCGCACACGAGAGCAACTGGCTTACGCCAATGGCCATGAATGACTTTTTGCTAAGCACATAGCTCTACTGTGCGCCGGCCTTCAAAGAGCCTTGAAATGGAATCAGTGCGGCAAAAGACGATCATATATAAGAATATACACTTCTATAATTAAATGTAGTAAATATTGGCTTTAAATCTCACTACTACAATAGACTCTAGAACTCACTTGAATCCCAATTTTTACTTCTCCGTCTTTTATATCTCTCTTTTATCAGTCTCTGTCTCTGAACGTACGTGTTCTCTCTCCTTTCTCTATTTTTTGATTGGTTCACAGACTCCCAAAATAAAAAGTTAATTTTAAGCTTTATGTCCTATGTCGACGACATAAACTTCCAGCAACGCCTCTAAACAGAGCAAGCCGGTTTTGACGAATCGGGATTACTCCATGCGCGTCTGATCTTTGAAGGTCGCGTCACAAATTGTACTAATTACACGTATTAGGAGCCACCCTAACAAACGTACTATGGTTTTTCCTTCGATTATATGACTTACGTTGTGCCTTTAAAGTAAAGTGAAGTAAGTGTCTTGTTTTTATGAGAACAATCTCCCAATCATTTCCTTCTCTAATTTCAGGGATTTTCAAGTTAAAGATCAGTTTAATGGATCCAATAAAAAGCAAAGCTAATTATTCCCGGGTTTGTCAACTGTTGGTAGATAAAGGAGGAGATGCTTTGAGACTTGCTCTACATTCGGTGCATCCACCTTCCACCTTGTCCTCCGCATTGAATGCCAACAAGAAGACCCTGCAGAGAATACGATACAATATAATTAAAGCCCCGCAATGGGATCTACTCTTCCCAATATCTGGTGCACCAGATTCAAACAACTTTGATATCACCTTACTGACTGTCCTACTTCGAAATATTTGTGGATTGTCTCCACCAGCGACTGGGTGGAATGTTATGCCTCTAGGTAGCGATACATCTATATCAGCGAACATTTTGAGGGTCAAAATGTTCAGGAATGAAGTGTATGGTCATATTCCAACTGCAAGTTTGGACGACACAACGTTTGAAAAATTGTGGCAAGAAATTTCGGTACTGTTGGTCAACTTGGGAATTCCTCAAAAGGATATTGATCAGTTGAAAGTGGCACCTCTCAGCTCTGAAGAAGAAAGTTATATTGAAAGATTAAAAGAATGGAAACTACGAGACGATGACTTGAAATCAGAATTAACTGATGTTAGAAGTGAAGTAGTCAAGCTAAGAAAAACAGTAGATGAGAATGTTCATCACTCAACTGTTGAATGGAAACTACAAAACGATGATTTAAAATCAGAATTAAGTGATGTTAAAAGTGAAGTAGTCGAGTTAAGAAAAACTGTAGATGAGAATGCTCATCACTCAACTGTCGAGAAACTCGCTAAATTCGACTTTACTGGAAAGATTGATGACCTTTGTAAAAAATTTCATGAAGGCACAAGAAAATGGTTTTTTGATCAACTCTCAAGTTGGTTTGTGACTAAAGAAACCAGGGTTATGATCCTAACTGCAGGTCCAGGCGTTGGAAAAAGTGTTTTGTCTGGAAAGATCTCTGAGCTATATAGAGAACGTGGCCAACTCGCAGCTCACCATTTCTGCGACTTTCAAAATTCTGATTACAGCAATCCTCACAGAATCCTCCAGTCCCTTGCAAGCCAAATGTGTGATAATGTTGATGGATTCCTTGATAAACTAACCGAAATCCTTCGTCGTGAACATTCACGGGACTCGCTGTCAGACGCATTTCGTGTTCTTTTAAACGATCCACTACACTCTCTTCGCAGAAATAATCCAATGTTGATCATTGTTGATGCCTTGGACGAGAGCAAAACTGATATGAAGAGCGAGTTTTTCGAGTTGATATCTGAGAAATTTTGTGAACTGCCTGATTGGATTAAGATATTCATTTCGAGCAGACCGGAGCTACAAGTACGGAAGGTTCTTCAACATTTACAGCCGTTAGAAATCCTTCCTGATGATGAAGATCACAATCAAGATATTGAGCTTTTCATTCGTGGTGACTTACCTAACCTTCCTGATGATAGCATATGGTCAGTTGTTTCGAAGTGTGAGGGATCGTTTTTATACGCTTATCACTTAATTCATGAATTAAGAGAAAAGGGCTTGGGAATTGAACCCGATCTAAGTGATTGCATTCCCAATTGTATTGCCGGATGTTACAAAAAAAAGTTCAAACGTTTGAAAAGCCGCCTCCAACGTTTAAAGCAAGATACCTTTTCATCTATCTTAAAAAGTTTTATCAATGTTATTGCCGCCGCATTCATGCCTCTCCCACTGAAAATTCTTTTTACATGCATGGGTCTGCCGTGGAAAGAATTCGAAATACGCACGGCGATTATTGAGATTATGTCAGAAATTCTTCCAGTTTATGATGGTTGCCTAACTCTTCATCATAAGTCATTATGGGATTGGATGACATTGAATGGGTTTAAGGAACATTCGTTTGTTGCAGATCTTAAGGACGGAGTTAGACGTCTTTGGCGGGCTTGTGAGAAAGAATTCTGTGAGATAGAATCTTTGAAGTCTGTTTTAGAATTTCAAATTTCACCCGAGAATAAGTACGCTTTGGAAAATGGTAGAAGATATTTAGTTGATACAGGTAAGGTCGAGGAATTTCACTGGTTGGTGCATGTTGCCGTAAACTATTTGAGACTAAGATTTAATATTCGCACCGTCTATATTGATTTTAAGCAAATCCTTAATACGTATGGTAGTGTTCTTCCCAAAGATGTTTATTACAGGATCATTCAATTGCATTCTTTCTTCGTACAGATGGAAGAGAATTTTTTTGGAGAGAAGCGCCCTCCATCATATCGTGACAATTATTTGAGAGATCTTTCAAACGGATACTTTGATTTTTCACAAAATAATGTCTGTCCTAGAAATGTTGCTAGAAATATCTTGGATACAATAAATGAGATTTGGATAGAACGTGTGACAACTGAAAAGAATCATAATTCAAATCATGTCACCCATGCCTTAGTTGATTCATGTCCCTGTTCTGTCTCACCAGACAATACGATGTTTGCCCTCTTTAATACTCAAACATGGACAGTACAAGTCCTTAAAATACCAAGCTTCACGACTCTTTTCAAAATACAAGTAGATGAGATACAGCGTTTTCTTAACGTCTTCTTTGGCTTTTCTCCTGATTCCTCCTATTTTTTATCCAATTCCATTCGGTCATGCGTCCTTGTTAAAGAACGAATGGAAGTGCCCTTCATTGCACACGGCCCCAAAGACATTTGGAGTTGTTCTTTTTCTTCCTGTGGAGTGAAACTTGCTACATTTGGGCAGACATTGATCCAAGTGTGGGATGTAATGAGGAAAACCCTATTAGCAGAAGTTGACAATTTGTTTTGGAGATTTAGGTGTGATTGTTTGTTTAGTTTATGTGGCTCCTACATTCTCCTTTTTGGTAGGGATTACGACTCATCAATATGTACGAATGTCTTGCGCTCTGAGAATTTGGAAGAAGTGTATATTGAAAAGAATTCTGTTGCTCCGTGTTTGTCAAGTAAAGATTCCATTCAGATACATATACCAGACGGTATCTTGCATCATTACGGATCATGCGGTAAGATTAGCTTTGATCATGTTCGCTTGCCATCTGGTGAGATAGTTCTTATCCCTAATAAAAAATGTTCAAAAACCTTTTTATGGAAGGACAATAAAAAGTGTGTAGCATTTTGCGATTACTCCTCCGCAAGTGCTGCAGCTCTGATGATATACGATTTTATAAACCAAAAGATCGTTGACGTCTTTCAGATTGATTGTTTGCCTGCTCGATATGTTTTCCATTATATTTCAAAATTAGAAGGGTCGAAATTCCTTTTACATAATTCGAATCCAAGCCTAGTATTTATTTTATCTCTGGAATGTCCTGATGCTACTTTTGTCGACAACGCCCCTATAGATTGCTGTGCATTATCTCCGGACACCTTGTATGTAGCGTGCTGTTTTGAAAATTGTATTCTTTCAATAAGAAGTATCGACAGTGGGGAAACATTGAAAACTGTTGCACTGAAACAACGAGCAGTGGCGTGTTGGTGGTCTGAGTCGTATCTTTGGTTGGTCTGTGAAGGCGTTGTTGTTAAATATCCTTATGAACCTTTGAATTCAAATATCTTAGGAAATCAAACTGAAGAATCTATTTTAAATTTTAGTCGTGTTTTTAAATTTACCAAAGATGTTCTTATAATTAGCGCTAATGGGAGAATTTCTATTTTGAAAATTTGTGGTGAAAATCTCAGTCATCAAGAAATACCTTCTTGGAATTTTGACGAGGCCCATAGTGAAAAGTTCACTTCTGTCGCAATAAGTTATGATGGGTGTGCCGTTATGTTGCATTGCAATTTGAGGAAAATCTATGAATTGTGGGAAATAGAATGTGGCAACAGATGGTTTGTACGTTCAACGGGAGAGTTGAATGAATCAGTTGAATGGTTCTGTTTAACTGGTACTAATTTGACTCGTAGTTTAGTATTAGTGTCATCTGACAATGCAATAATTGCCGAAGAGATTTTTTTTTTATTTTTTATTACGTTCCGAAAAAATGGTATAAGAATTGCGCATAGTGTTTCTATTAGATCTTTTCAGAAGGCTTTTTACATGGATTGCGGAATTGTAGGTCTTTTCACTAGTGGTAATAAGATGCATTTTGTTAATGTGTCCAAAGGCAAAATCATATCCTCTACAATTCTACCTTTCGCGTCTCCCAATGAATATTTTCATTTTTTCCTCCCATCGACGTGTTCTTTTCTATCCGTGGGAATGAATTGTAACAAACATTTTAAAATTCATAATTTTGAAACGTATTTATCGCTTCCTTGGCGTAATGATCCTTGAAAATGCGACTTTCTGTCTTAGATGAGGAAATATCACGAATCATTAATTAATACTAAAAAAAATATTTATCGAAAGAAAATATTGAGGTAAATAAGTATTGCCAATTAAACTTACGGATAATATCCCACAACTTAATTTGAATAAACGACGTAATATTAGGGACAAACCATCAGATGTGTCAAATGTTTGAACTGTGCCGAATTTGTTAAAAGAAATAAAAAAAATCCATTTTTGACTAAATCTTGTATAGTCTTTATAGCATAAGAGTCGATTGATTTAAATATTTGCTACGAAGGTACTTGTGGTAAGCGTGCAAATATACAGCTGATTCAAGAAACGGTTTCCATACACCTACATGTGACGTCGCCAGCTCGTTAGGTCGGGTAGGGGATACTCGTGTATTTGTGTTCTACATATAGTCCTAACACAAATCCATTATTCTAGCTGTCAGTGAACATACATGGATATATAAATGTGCTCAATAATAATGCTGGTACGTCACTGGTCATATAAAAGTCAAAACGAAAATTAATCAAAACAATTTCTTTCCGATTGTTTGATGGAAAATTATATGTGCACGTGTAAATAAGTCTGCGTATGCACAACATACCTGGACCATGAATCTTTGCATACCTATAACGAAATATTCTTATGTTTAAGGTTTTAACTTGTTTGGCACTTCTTTTTCTTCTTGAGTTGGCTGTTTACCGCGATCTCTTGCATATATAATAGTTGGTGCCCAAATGCGCTTGCCGCAAATTCTAATTTTAAATACTGTACTGTTTATTTCTTGTCAGTTTTTGAACATTGACATCGTAGAGTCTGTTATATGTTGTTTTGTGACGGTGAGCACCATGCATGGGACTTTGTGTCTCGTTCGTGCTTGGCCGTTTGGGTCTTCTACAAACTGTGTTATGTTGTTATTTAGTTGAGGTTCTGTTTGTAAGTTGTTGTATTTGTTCTTGTGCGTGTTTGTTTTATCGTTTTAAGACTTTAATAGTAGACTTTGTAGAATACTGAAAGAAATGAAATGAAATAACTTGGTTTACTCTAAGCAATGACGTAAAAATTGATATGAACGTTACCTGAGCAAATACTTTTCTCAGCATTGGATAATTAAGGGCAATATATTCATCAATTAAAAACCTTAATTTTAGTTCATCTGATGTCATTACTATAGTTAATCTCACGCGTAAGGCCCAATTACACTATACGGGGTCGCTATTGAATACAGTCAAATTTTTTATGTCTGATCCAAAAAAATCTACCAAATCTATCAAACCAATGAGCTTTTACTAGTAACCATTTCTTGTTAGCGACAAACGAAAGGTCGTGACCAGCTAATCCTGTGTCGTGTAATGTAGGCCTTAGTCACATAAAATTACTGTTACTTGTATATCTAAGATTATTTCAAGATAATTGGAAACTTGATTTAGCCAATATTAAGCTACATTTGAATGTTGGCGTAACTGATTACATGCTAATTGAACGATAACAAAGGTGGACCTACAGTACTGTCCTAAAAAAAACCTACCAAAAACCGCGGTTAACCTAGGTCAAACCTAGGTCTGATCGTGGTTCAACTGAGGTCAGACCGGGGTCGAATCGCTGTGAGATGGAGATTAAACCTCGGCCTCATTCTCGGTATGAGAGAGATTTCTTAAGGTTTTTTCGATTTTTTATTGTGTTGTTTTATTGTATTGCTTTTTACCTGCGAAGGTATTTTTTCCTTTGCGGTCGTCTGCGGTTTCTATCGGTCGACCGCAACCTAACCGAACTGCAACCGCAGTGTTAGGTTATGTTAGGTTATTTCTGGACACTACTGTAAGTTTGTGCAGTTCTGATTTTATCCTGGAGATCTTGAGGCTAGATCATATTTAATTGCAGATCATATTGTGGCCAATTTATACCACCTTCGGTATACTCATTTTAATAATTGTGTTTGTTTGAAAATTATTGTTCCAAAACCCTGCATGTTTTTTCGCGTCCATTAAATTCTTATAAGAATAAAAATTGTTTATTATTGGCTACTTTTCGAACATTTTTTATGCTTGTCTTCAGATTTAAAAAATGAAGTTAGAGTTAAGTTTGAAAGCGATTAGATAAACTGCAGAAACTTTCGTGTATTCCTATATTCATTTAATCAGTTAAAAACAAAGTAAAAATAAAAAAGTGAACGGAGAAAGAAAAAAACCTTCGAAACGAGGATGGTCGAATATGATTTGGTTGAACCAAGTTTCCCCAGATACTGTCAGAGATAAACTGCTTAAGGCTCATTTACACGATGTCGGATCCAATTCACTTCTGACGTATGGAATGTAGTTGTTTATTGATAAACCAGTAGTGCATTGACTTTAGTTCATTTGTTGTCCACATACGTTGCAAGTTAACAGACGATAAAACATCGATCAGAAGTGAATTGGATGCGACAAAATTGGATCGTGTGAACAGACCTTAAGGAAGCTTTAGAGGGTACATAGAAGAAAAAACATTTGAAAAGTTATAATGTTTGCCAGAATTATTTCCATTTAATTAACTGGTAATATTTTCTTATTAGTAGAAGAGCTTCAACCAGCAACAATATCGAAATACTTATTAGTGACTAATATTTTGGTAATTAATGTTTTTTTAACTTTTAACTCTTTCTTATTACTTGCATGTAAATCCACATCTGTCGTATGTATCTAAACACGTCGTTGTCCGAGTGTCAACCTTTTTATGATTGTATAAATCCTATTACTCTCTTTGATTTTAGACAATTTAGAACTATGGTTAAGATTATATGTGTGTAGCTTAGCAACAAATGAAATAAAATAAATCAATGCGTTAATAATTGTCTTTTCGTTTGCTATAAAAAGATTTCAAAGAGGAAAGATGCTTCGAAGAACAAACTTTCGCGGCTGTACGTCAAAAAAATTCTGCTACTAGAGTTATATCTTGTTGAATATCTGTTTTTAGTCTCATCATATGTTCAACGGCATACATGCACGATATCTTCATTATCAACGTGGCGTTTAACAAATAGCTCAGTCTAGTGCTGTACAACCAATGCCCTCGTTCTTCAGTTTTGTCTTTTAGCATGGTTGCTACCAGACCTAGTTGTACCTAGAACGAGAATTCAAAACGTTAACCTTCGCGGCGCATAACGACAGCAGCAAGGTCAAGGGCGACAATTCAGTCCACTGACATCAGACAAGTCAGCAACAAAAAGCATTACAGTACAACCTAAACAATTGTTTACGTTGGGAGAATTCCATGGTTAAAAGTTTGAAAAGAATTGTATCTTTGTTACAATTTATTTCTTATACTAGAATACATAGCAGTACTGTAAGTTTGTGCAGTTCTGATTTTATCCTGGAGATTTTGAGGCTAGATCATATTTAATCCCAGATCATATTGTGGCCAATTTATACCACTTTCGGTATACTCATTTTAATAATTGTGTTTCTTTGAAAATTCTTGTTGCAAAATCCTGCATGTTTTTTTGCGTCCATTAAATTTTTAAGATTAAAAATTGTTTATTATTGGCTACTTTTCGAACATTTTTTATGCTTGTCTTCAGATTTAAAAAATAAAGTTAGAGTTAAGTTTGAAGGCGATTAGATAAACTGCAGAGCCTTTTTTGTATTCCTATGTTCTTTTAATCAGTTAAAAACAAAGTAAAAATACCAAATGAAAGGACAAAGACAAAAACCGTCGAAACGAGGATGGTCGAATATGATTTGGTTGAACCAAGTTTCCCCAGATACTGTCAGAGATAAACTGTCTTAAGGCCCATTTACACGATCCAACTGTTGGATCCAATTCACTTCTGACGTAATTGCAATGTAGTTGGTTATTGATAGCAATAATACAAAAGCAAGGAATACAAAATTTTCTTTATTGCTCCCAAGTTATATCGTCATACTCATTTATCAAATATCGGTTGTGTTGTGGTGCAAACAAATTTTGATTCTTCAGCTTCAGCCTCGTATTCAGGCGCTTTAAAAGTAAATATATAACGTTGCATTCAGTTATTGTATAGGGGTCAGTTGAGAGAAGGCGAGAGCGCAGGGATATTTGGAGTGATTTGGAGAAAGGAAGCTTCTTTCTTCCGTAGCGTCAACCCCAAGCACCCCCGCGTGCTCACCTTTTTTTAACTGACCTCTATACAAAAAACTGAATGCAACGCCTGGGTACGAGGCTGGTGCTCCTTTGAGTGTTAAAACGTTTCTAATTCGAGATCAGAAATTTGGCTGACGTTCGATAGAGATCTTGTAATATAATTTTTAAAATCGACCCAGAGAGCGTTTACGGTTTTTTAAAATAAATATTAACTTCATCGGGCAGTTTATAGGTCACATTTTGGTCGCGTCGAATGCAATTCAAACAATAGATAATAAGATTTAAACCTCATTACCATCTAATCATCTTTTGCTTGAATTGCATTCGACGCGATCAAAATGCGACGTATAAACTGGGCGTTAATGCCAGTTTGTTCTGGTGGTGTCTTTCAGGAGCTGCCCACATTCATTACCATTGCCGGAAATAGTTCAATCGTCAATTTACGTCAAATAGCGTCACATTGCAACGCCCAACGAACGTGACTAATACTTCCGTTAAACGCTCAGCCTGTATCGGCTGTAACAATACACCAGCTATATACCTCGGTTATGTACACGTTGTTCCTCAAAAATTTCTTGTTTTTATAATTCTTATCTCCGAATTGTAACATTCAGGAATAAACAAGGGTATTACTGTGTTCAAATTGTATTTAAATATCAAGGTATTTGTCAGTTGTTATAATTATTAGTATATTAGATATTACAAATGTAGAACGTAGGATACTGTGGTACTATTGTAGTGTTATTTCATCTTTGAACTGTTTCATCTGCCTTTAATTGTTCATTTGGGAATAAGACAAGTTTTTTCACAATAATAATGCTGTTTAAACCTCTCCCGTGAAGAATTATTCGTATTTTAAGAACAATTTATGCGAACAGCACATTATATGGTTGGATGGTCGTGGCTCTGCTTGTTTCCGTTGCTTTGAATGCTTTGAGCATTTTCATTGTTTACACATTTTATTGTCAGTTGGACATATAAATATCTCGGCTAGCATGATATTTACGAGGATAATTTAAAATCAAGCTTTTGTTATAATTTGGATGCCTTATTAATTATTATTATGCTAAACCCATCGACGCGTAAAATTGAAAGTGAATGCTCAATCTAATTACAATGTGTAAATGACACACCAGTGCACTAATCATGCATACAAATTCCTACAAGAGCTTAATTTCAATTGTTATAGGGATACTCTTTTACAGCTTGTACCAGGTGTATAAAAAGAAAGGCAACCAACCATAAAATATTCATAAATACTCATTTTGTCTTTGACTATACATGGTATATAAAAAAACTGCAATGCCATGTTACATGACTTATATGGTGCATTTTTCTAGCAACTTGTAATGCAATCCTACTTTTAAGAGATGTAAATTAGTACCGAGTATTCAAAATGCAGTTAACTCAAATAAGACTGGATCACTGGAGCGCTCACTTTCCCTCGATCATTAATGAGTGAAGTTAAGATGGCAGATCATGAAGCCTTTCTTGTTGGTATGATCCACTGAGATATACTATAATTCCTGGCGGACTTGCCCGCGACCAAAAAGTGAAGCCAAAAACATGACGGATTTTTGCGTTTGCTGACGCCAGATTCACGCCACTGGTTCGCCGTGCTAGTTATCACTGACCAAGGCTCAATTCTGAGCCCGCTACAAATGCACTCCCCCCTGATTTTTTTTAAGAATAGTATTATTTCTCATTATCTTTTCCAGTCAATATTTTTGAACTCAAAACTTTTGATCAAATATGTTCGACGTTTTTGTGAAGATGTCGAAGTCGTACACGTTGGTCTAATACTCTTTTATTGGAAAAGTGTTTTTGCATCTGTCTTTGTAATTAATGCATGTTTATCATTATTATCTCTGCAACCATGATAATGTAATTTTTTATAGTCAAACTGTTAATATCTGAAACTTAACAGGTTTTCTTACCTTTTTCATTAAGAATCTGGATTCATTTTCACTGTGTGTGGTAACTATGTTCCAAATTGAATGATGTCTTTGCTCTGCTATTGAATGGGAAGGTAAGGGATTGTGGTTTATTACACATTTTGTATCTCCAGTTTCTGTTCATTCATTTAATAACTATATCAGCAGATGTGCATATATAAATATCTTTATTATACCAAATTCTCATTTTATGAAGTGGGAAAAGTGAACACTAGTGTATAATCCCAAAAACGGGAGATCACTAACCACTAAGGGCTGAACATTTTTATGGGGGAAGTGCTGAAATTTGGAGGAAGTTTTAGAAAAAGTAGATAACCAAAATATAAATTTTAAGGTATTGTAACATGTGAAGTTGATGTCGCAGAATTCACTGGCTTCGTTAAGTAAATTAACCTGCACACACTGGTTTTATTTTTATCTTTAATTTACAACAATTTAACATAACAACTCTCGTACAAAAATCTAAACAATCTCAAAACGATCTAAAACAATCTGCCCATAATACAGCTTTACACATTTACTTATAGTCCCAGTTCGGAAACCGTTCTGACGTACTTCGATTACCTCAAACCACTAACTTGGCACAACCAAAATACTTTGGACATCGTGCCCGTTTCGATACATTTTGGATCGTTTCCTGTTATTTTTCGTTATTTTACATTCATCTTGTTTGTTCCATGCATTATATAGTAAATATATTTATCGCTTACATAAACACACTTACAACCACGCACATTTACTAACATATTCACACAGACACCCAATATTTCCAACAGTTGACTGACAGGAACTATTTTCATGTGGATATCATCACATGGTCAAGAAAATTATGTCGAGATCCTACATAGAAAGATACATGAGTGTTGTAATGAATTATAGCCGAAACTTTGTCTATTTCAATTTATTTTCCACGAACACGTTTACAAAACATAAAACTACAAATATCGAAACTCAGCTGTCCTTGGCAGTCCTAAAAGCACATGCATTCAGTCACGTGATTGCCCGAAATTTAGGTTCAGTTTGTCGCCTTCATGTAGGCCTATTTATGTTCTTGACACTCCCCAGGCTGGTTACTGAAGTAAACAGAACTAATTAACAACAATTTATTTAAAGTAATTTATTCCTTAAGAGTTCTTCTCTAAAAAAGGCATTGGCAACCGCTGCCGCACGTCGAGGCCGACCCGTTTCCCTTGACTCTTCGACAACCGCCGAATTTTCAGTTTGTGTTTGCGCGGTTTCGTTTACGTTAGAGGGGTCTTGACCAACTTCGAGAGGCACCAGATGTTGGATGGGCCTACGCAACACGTCCGACCTTCCGTTTTCGCTACTGACCCTAACCTTAGCCGCACGAACCTTTCCATCATCACCTGGTATAAGTTCCTCAATCTTTCCAAGTCGCCAAAAATTTCTGTTCGTTTTCTCATTCTTAACAATAACGATATCGTCTTTCTTTAAATGTTCCGTTTTTTGACGTTTGCTGTTCACTTGTGCATTCTCGCGTAAATTCCTCAAATATTCCTTTCGCCAACGTGTTGTAAACTGACTCAAAATCTGCTTGTGACGCCGCGCTCTTTTGGTTAACGATGTATTCGTGCTAATGATCTCGTAATGTTGACTGTTTGGGCTTAAACAAATACGCCGTCCGTTGATTAATTGTGATGGTGAAAGCGCATACGAAATTGATTCTTCGTCATCGTAAACGTAAGTTATTGGCCGTGCGTTGATTATTCCTTCAATCTCTATGAGCACAGTTGACAGTTCGTCATAATCGAGAGTGGCTCTACCGAGAATTTTCTTAAGAACAATCTTTACACTTCCTACTAGTCGTTCCCAAAAACCACCCCACCAAGGGGCCTTTTCCACGATAAATTGCCATGTCACGCCCCAACCCACGAGAAAGTCTTGTACTTCCTTGGACCTACAAATTCGTTCCACTTCCCTGCATGCAGATTTGAACGTCTTTGCGTTGTCCGATATCAAAACGGTAGGTAACCCTCGTCGGCTCGCAAAACGTCGGAAGCTCAGCAGGAACGCCTGTGTACTAAGGGCTCGAGTTAATTCAAGGTGAACTGCACGAGTGGCGGCACATGTAAATAAACATACATAAATTTTTTCTGACGAAGTTCCGTCCGTTGAGTTCCTTTCGGTTGTATATAAGGGGCCTAAGAAATCTAGTCCAGTGTTCGCAAATGGTGGTGCGTCATCGACTCTAATTTTGGGTAAATCTGGCGTAGGTTGTGGACTGAGCGGTCTTGCCTGGTGCCGACGACATACTACGCATTCTCTTAGAATTCGTTTCACGGTTTCTCGTCCTCGCAACACCCAGAATCTTTCGCGCAACGTGGATAACGTGTGATTGATACCGCTATGTTTAACATCTTCGTGAATGCTTCGAATCGTCAATTTCGTAAAATGGTGTTTCGATGGGAGAAGAATCGGTCGTTTTTCTGATTCGGTAATAAGCGCGTTGTTTAATCTACCCTTGCACTTTAGCATACCGTCTTGATCGACATATAGCCCTAAGTTACTAACATTCGAGGGGGGTGATTCCTTCGACTTACTTCGCAGGTATTTCAATTCTTCAGTGAAACTCGATTCTTGAACGCTCCGGATCCACAAATTTTCAGCCTCTAAAATCTGGGTCGCAGATAGATTTAAACTGTTAGCAAACACCTGTCCATTGGGTTGCTTGACTCTGCTCTTCAAAAGGTAGATAAACCGATTGACATATGCAGTTACTCTTAGAAGCTTCAATTTATCGCTGAATCGATCACAATCGATCACAGATGCCACGTCGTGAGCTTGAGAACCAACAGCACCAACTAACACACGAGTGACAGTTTTAGGTTGTTTGACAATCTCATTCTCTGCTGCCTTATCGATTTCTTTAGGAAACTCCAGTTTAGGCCATTCGTCCTCGGGTTGTCGTAAAAATGCAGGTCCATTCCACCACAGGGAATTGGAAACCATCTCGTCGACTCGTATACCTCGCGATGGTATATCAGCTGGATTCATTGCTCCCGGACAATGATTCCATGACTCCTTATCCGTCAATTTTCGAATTTCATTTACACGTTGATTGACGTATTGCTTCCAGCTCTTCTGGTTACGAATCCAACATAGAACGGTTGTAGAATCTGTCCAATGAAATCTACGCAGTTCTCCGATCTTAATCACTAGCGCGTTATTTACTGAACTTGACAATCGAGCTAAAATATTGGCCCCAAGTAACTCCAAGCGAGGAATTGTTTGTTGCTTGATTGGACAAACGTTGGACTTAACTGCGATTAGCCGCACGACGATTACTCCACTTTCATAAACTGTTCGTAAATAAACCACCCCTGCGAACGCATGTTCGCTAGCATCTGAAAACCCGTGTAACTGAACTTGTACTATCTTCATCTTCGGAACAAAGTAGCATCGTGGTACCGTTATCCCGCCCAATTTCTCCATCTCCAAAAGGAGGTCCTTGTAAAGCTTGAGCATGTCAACTGACAGTTCGTCATCCCACTTCGTTTTCTCTTTGCACAGTGTTTGGAACAACATCTTAAATCTCACTGTCAAGGGACTAAGAAAACCAATAGGGTCGAAAATTTGTGCTGCCGTTTTTAATACTGATGGTTTAGTTTGCGGAAGTTGCTTCGCACAACTTGCTACCTCGGAAAACTCGAAAAAAAGTTCATCTTTTTTCGTGTCCCAGCTCAACCCTAATATCTTTGTCTTGCTCTCGTCCACAGCTTGCGGTCCCACAACAGTTTCAACGTAAGTACGATCATCTTCAACTACGCTCGCCTTCTCGGGTAAGTTGTCCATATTGAACGCGTTCATTGCCTCACATTCACCAATTCGGTCGCTCAATTCCTTCGAATTGGACTTCCATTTTCGAAGGTTGAATCCACCACGTTTCATTACTCGCTTTGTTGATTCGTAGATTTCAAAAGCCTTCTCTTCATTTGTAGCTCCAGTTGGTAAGTCGTCCACATACAAATCCCGTAACGCTTGCACAGCTTCGGGCTCAGTTTCATTGTGTTTTTCTAGGTGATGGTTGATTGTTGCGCCCAAGATTGCAGGACTCGGTTTTAACCCAAAGACTAAGCGACAAAATCTTAAGTGTAGTAGCTCGTCCTTCTCATTCATCCACAAGAACCTTAACTTGTCTCGATCTTCTGGCTTTATTTCGATTTGCAGAAATGCCTTCTCAATGTCCGCAGTGAGTGCGATCGGATAACTTCGAAATTTTATCAAAGTGTCGAATAATGATGGTATATAATTGGGACCAGCGTCCAAATGATCATTTATTGATTGTTTACTTTCGTTTTCCTTCGCGCTTCCATCGAACACTACTCGTAGCTTCGTCGTTTCCTTCTCGCTTCGCACAACACCGTGATGAGGAAAGTAATGAGCCTCGATGGTGTTAAGTTCACTTAATGGAACCTTTTCTACTATCCCGCTTTGCAACTGATCTTGAATTATATGATTATACTCAGCTAGGAGCTCCGGATTCCTTTTGAGTCTGCTGACTAACGATCGTAGACGATTGGTACAAAGTTCCAAATCGCAGGTCACCAACTGCCCTTGATCCTCCTTCTAGGGCAGACCGACCTCATCCGTTGACCCTTGAACTTGATGTCTTCCAAAAACTTTCTTTCATTGCTTTCGTTTATCTCGGTTATGCCCAACGATTCCAGATCCCAGAACCTTTTAAGAGCATCAGTTAACATGCAATTCTCATTTTCCAACGGATGGCTGGCTCCACGCCCATCGATGACCAAGTTAGCAACTGTGTGGGTAGGCGGTACACCACTTATCTTGACAGGACCTGTTAGCAACCAGCCAAATCTACTCTGAACAGCAGTCGGACCAACATCGCCTTTAATGATTTCTCCTGTCACAACTTCATAATAATAATCGGCCCCCAATAATATATCGATATCTTCATTCACACCATCGATCTCGTCTGCAAATTCAAGCCCATCAAGTTGGGGATACTCCGCTGTATCCACCCGTGTGGCCACAGGTGAACATATGACTGGAAACGCTAGGGCCTCCACTTCAATGGTAAATGCACCATCCAATCCTTGAATGCCTATCTCGACCATTTCACAACTTTGTTTCTTAAACTGTTCATCACCAAATGTGTTTAAATGTACTGTCTCCCTTTTTACAGCAGATAGCCCTAATCTTGCCTTTAAACTAGTGGTTACATAACTTCTTTGACTGCCTGAGTCAAAGAGAACCCTAACCTTTGTACTTCTGGAATTTTCTGTGTTGACAGCGTAGACTGTTGCTGTCTGCAGTAAGACTCGAGTTCCGTTTCTGTTCCTGTGTCCAGTGTTGGCCGTCGTACTGATCACTTGTTCAGGGTTTTTCAAAGATGTCTCACGTTTTGCTGTTGCATCCTTTTCCTTTGAGTCTGCGGGTTTCTCTTCGTTTTCATGGTTTGGGTGTACCACAGTACAAATCGATTGATGGTGAGAGCCTCGACACTTCCTACAGTTGTTAACCTTGTTGCACTCTCTTGCTCGATGACCTCGTTGAAGACACACAAAACACCGTCTGTCCCGTCTTAATATTTCCTTTCGTTTGTCGATGTTTGTGACCTTTTCACAGGAAGCTGAGTAATGATACTCATCACAGTAAACACACCGTATTTTGCTCCTCGTCTCACCTTGTAATGCAGCTAATGCTGCTGCTGAATTCTTGACACGACTTCGATTACCATCTTGAGTTCCTTGACTGTAGGGGCTACTTGTACTTGTCTTAGCTGTTTCACTTGCCTCCCGTGCTTCCACCTCAAACTTGATCGTGTTCAATAACTCATTAATTTTCCAGACACCACTGGCCGATTTCCTTGCTATTTCAAGTCGAATTTCATTTGGTAATTTTGCCATTATTATGGGTATCAAGAGACTCCCATACTGATCAGACGACACCCCCAGGGACTGTAGTCCTCGTACATGAACACTAAGACTGTCATATACAAAACGAAGAGAAGACAATCGTTCACCAGTGCATGCTGGTATTTTTAAGATTTCATCCATATGAGCTGTGATTACTTGTTGGGGTCTCTCAAACCGATCTTTTAGAATCTCTATTGCTGCATCGTAATTGGCCTCAGTCAATGTTAAGCCTTGGATTGCACGCAAGGCTGCACCTTCAAGCAAAGAGTTAAGATAATTGAATTTGTCAATCCTTGAAATTACGCTGTTATTGTGTATAGCGGACTTGTATGTGTCCCAAAATGGACCCCATTTTATCCTTCGTTTCAGCCATAATATCGCTCGAATATTTTCGCTTGGGACTTTAGCTTGATACCAACAAATCAAAGCCGCCCCACGTTGGGCGCCATGTAATGAAATTATAGCCGAAACTTTGTCTATTTCAATTTATTTTCCACGAACACGTTTACAAAACATAAAACTACAAATATCGAAACTCAGCTGTCCTTGGCAGTCCTAAAAGCACATGCATTTAGTCACGTGATTGCCCGAAATTTAGGTTCAGTTTGTCGCCTGCATGTAGGCCTATTTATGTTCTTGACAAGTGTTAATTGAGAAAGACAAAAAACTGTTTCTGGTCAAACTAAATGACAATATCTTGCTAATTACATAATTCACACACTGTTTCTATGTAAATGCATTGCTTTCAGTCCAGCTCTTGAAAACGTCAACAACCTTGACTGTTTGTATGAATGGCTCATGTATCAGTAGCAACATCGTAAGTGTTCGTAATTTTTCGGTTGTTATGGCTGATCATATTTCAAAAACTGAGTACCCCATGCAATACCTGATGTCCAGGAATCTAATGTCCAGCTAGCAGCTTCCATTATGTTGGCAATTGGCAATTGCACTGATTTGCTTTGCTTGTGGAAGCCGCTCGAGTGCTGTGAGGTCGATATATTGCTGTGTCAACACCAGCACACTTCATAACATGTTTTATCCATTGTCTGATAGTGCCTTTTGAGACCTTCTTATATGGACGAACAAAACTAATGAACAACTGCGACTCTTGTAACCGCAGTATCTTTGTACGATCAAGGTACTCCTCATACGTTAATAAATAAACACTTAACCGGTGAACCTGAAATAATTTTGGTTTGATAAAGATCGGGTTTTTTCTGCCTGCAGGGGCAGATTGCTTCGCCAACTCATTTATAGCACATTGATAGGCAGATGAGTTCTTTGTTAGAGAGTCCAAGTTCATGAGGTGTAAAGTCTGACAACGTTGCCCTGTAACTAAGGCGCATAGCATTATTAATTTGTATGTCAGGTCACGTAGTTTAATTCTGTGAAGCTCAGTAAAAGTTTGTAATAAATAGCGTAAAACTTTATTAGTATCCCAAGTGTCTTGGTAACGAGATAAGGAAGGTTTTGTTTGGAACACCCCTTTTGCCAGCCTCTGAACCAGAGGATGATTCCCAATTGTAATGTTTCCTTCAATTGTTGTCAACTAAGACAGGGTACATCTGTATGTATTAATCCCTGAGTAGCCTAAGCCATCATTATACAAATTAGATTAAGAAATCCAAAACATAATTCCCAGGTGGGTGAAAGGGATCAATTGATTGTTCACTACTAAAGGTTTGCCATTTATTCCAGTATGTATGATATTGTTTCCGAGTGCCCTGTCTCCAGGAGTTGAGGATACGTTCCTAGATGAGCCGGCTGTGAAATTCCTTTACTCTCCAAGGCTGACCGGATAATCCACAAGCCATTATATAGTTGAAGCTTTCTTTCCAGTAGGTCACGCTTGTCTGGATTGATGCTGTTTCGCGTTTGATAATCCCTCCCATAGTGTGGCTTTGTCAGGCATGTCAGACGAGTCAACGATTGCTTCACCTAAGCGTTTCATCAACATCTCTTGCATTTTTGCCAGCGGACATCCATGGCTCTGGTTGATTTTTGGCTAATGTCGCAGATTTCTTGGTTGACTTTCGTTACTTTTAACTGAATTTGCAATTTTCTGGTCGTCAATTTTTTTCCTTTTTTGAGGTGGCATTCTTTTCATTAAAGCCATGAGGGAGAATGCTGTTTAGTACCAACCCGATTTTCCCTTGCAATGCAGCTCCAGTTTGTTTTCTGTAATTTCAAGAATAAGGGAATCCACGATACCCGCCTCGGTCTCTGAACTGTGAAGATTTTCATTTTTCGTAGCGGCGCGATAGTAGAATAGTAGACAGATCGTCAGTGTGACTTTTGGCGCTATTGTTTTCACCATCGGAATCGCTTCTCAACAGGTCAACCTCGACCCTGGAAAGCTCTTGGTCGTAAGCCGCTTTCAGCTCACAAACGATGGGGACCACCCCCGCAACGTCGCTGACAATAGATGTTACTTTGTCTATGTTCGCATTAATTCTGCTTTCGAAATCGTCCACTGCAGTTTGACCTTTTTCCGAAGCGTCTAACTCTGCACTATACGAGATCGTTTCTCACTCGCTTTCTTCCTTATCGACCCCACTTGTCTCGATCGAGGTTTTTTCTTTTCCACTTGTACCTGGCTTCGGCATCGCCGTACCAGAAAAATCATTACTGGACGAGCACTGGTTCGAAATCACGCTGGTTTCGAGCTGGTCCATGATTTTCAAAGCGGGATATTTCCTCTATCCAGAAAATATTTCGCGGATAAACCATTCAAGAGTAAATCACAATTACCTTAAATTGCTGAATTGGTATCGATTGAAGCTCGATGTCCGAAAAAAGGAAGATACTTGAAGAAAAATTTTATTCGAAACGATCAGCAAACCAAAATGGTGTCCAGCGAAACGTGTTATGATCAGCGCAGCGCATGCGTGCTCTCTCATGGAATCTCTGCGGTGGTAAGACTGATAGAGTTAGGCAATGTTTGGCCTAAAGGAGTGTGGAGACTGAGTGATGAGAGGCAATGTTTGAAGTTGATCAAAGTGCTTTAATTGTTATTCATCAGAAAGCGGAGATGAAAACTTGAGTAAAATATCCAAAATAGTCAACACATTGTGGATGATATTTAATATACCTATATATCTATAATATGTTCCATTTTGGATATTTTGGATACTTTTATTGTTTTACTAAAAGTTGGTGAATATCACATGACATCTCTTAATTCGTTTGCTACGCCCTGGTTTTCAGGAACTCACAAAGGTACAACATGATAAACAAACACCGCAGAAATTGGTGTTTATGAGGTTTTAACATGCACGAAAATCTACTCAATGGTTCAGAATTGTGCATTTTTGTATCACTATCATAGAGAATAAGTTGAATTTCGAAATACGCATTCCGCAATCTTTTTTGACAGCTCATATATCATGCACATCTGACAGCTGTGAAATTGCCATTTTGGGGCTTAAATTATACCCAAGACGCCGGTTGTATGAAAGCCGGATGGCGCTATTGTGGCTATATTCAATCGCTTTAAAATCAGCCATTGTTTGCCAAAATCAGCCGACCCAACGTTATTAATTCAGACGATTCATTTTTACCGTGTGTGCAAGCTTTAAAATAATCTTTTGTTCAAGTTATATTTCGTTGAGCATTTGTGCTAACAGTAACAGAACAAGAACACGCTCATTAAAAGCTAGGAAATTGTTTTAGCAACGTTGTTTAAATGCTTAAGACTCTGGATTTCCTGGGGAACATCGGGCCTCAACGACGTTCCTCCAACGCACTCTGTTTTGGGCGTTCCTTTTCATCTGAGCCAGGGCGCTGTAAAACACGGGGGGGGGACGGCTGTACTCCCCTGATCTATGTGCGGTACGCGTACCTCCCGAACCTTTTTGTATTTTTATTATTTTCAACTTTAAAAAAAAACATGATAGGACGATACAAAGCGCCTAAGAGTTATTACTCTTAGAGTAGCAGAATTTTCAGTCAAGCAGTTTAATGCTATAAACAAATGTGTGTTACTATAATAATTATGAATAGTTGCCGTTCTTTCGCAGATATAAATTACATTATGCGTGTGTTCATGCGTGTGTTCCAATGCCGGAATAATAAATAAGAAATTTGCGTTGACGTTGGTTTACAGTGTTTGCGGCAAACCGTTTTAATAATTATTTTCAGGGTCGCTTGTGTCAAAAAGTTTATCGACTTTTTCTCTCTTAGACAACTGAAAAAGCCACTAAAAACCCCTTTCAATTTTATGTATTTCATATATCCCGTAACATTTCCCACAACCTAGCTGAGTTTTTAAAAAATTATTTACGTTTATATTTTGTTCCTGTCTTTGTTTGAAAAAGGTTTTCACGACTTTGTTGGCATTTGTTGCCGACATATTGCTGGCAGCCGAATATGAATTCGCTTATTTTGTATTTTTAAGATACACCCGCTCGTGCCAGGCCTTTGATGCATCGCACGTACTTTGTGTGACTATATATTGGCGTTTCCCTGCCCGTGTTTACAGCGCCCTGGCTGATCCCATGTCATCCCGGCGGTCTTCACTTCTGCGTCTATGCCTCGTCAGGTCTGCTTCAGGCTGCCCACTTTTCTTTCCCCCTGTGAGTTGGAGTCTGCGGCCTGTCTTAATTGTGCTGTTGGAATCCGGTTTTTCGTAGGGTTCAACATATCCATCCCCATTTTCTCTTCTTGATGTCAACGACAATGGGCCTTTGTCCCGTTCTTTCCCATAGTTCTCTGTTGGAGATGACATCTGGCCAGCAAACATTGAGAATGGTTTTGAGACATCTGTTGATGAAAGTTTGTAGTTTGTGGGCGCAGGTCTTTTTTTTGCTCCATGTTTCTGAACCATACAGCAGCAATGACTTCACATTTGTGTTGAAGAGTCTCAGTTTGTTGCGGGGTGAAAGGGCTGAGGAGCTCCAGATGAGGCGTAGGAAGTTGTTTAGCAACATAAGCACTGTTTAATGCCATTACTAGAAATACATGCATGTAGCACCCCTCGCCATTTTCAACCAAGAAAATAATCCCCTAGCCGGGCCTAGATCAGCTATAACTACACTGCGTCCAAAAATTATATGCAAATATATTTTTTCAAAATAACATTAGCAATTACGTTTAGGCCTATGGAAATAAAATTTGGTATACAATATTAAAACGTTGGTTCTTTCTGTCTTGTGAAATGTTTCTCATCAGTTGAGATATCCTTTGCCGTGGCTTGGATGGCATTCCAAAGTTCTTGTTTTTAATTGAACTGCTTTCCAGCCGCGTAAACCTTGCGCTTGATAATGCTCCACATATTCTCGATCGGATTAAGATCAGGGGAGTATGGAGGCCATTCCATGATTGTAGCGTTTTAGACCAAAGATTTCTTCAAGAAATCCAATGTTAGACGTGCTGCATGCGATGGTGCATTATCTTGCATGAATATCATTCTCCTCCTGAATGACAAACTTTTCTTTTTGTACCAAGGTAGAAGAAACTCTATTAAAAAGCGGTATACGTTTCTGCAGTGATTTTCACCCCATCTTTAACTTTAAAAGTTCCAACTATTTCATTTTTGATGATACCTGCCCAGAACATAATTCTTCCACCACCAGCTTACTGACGTCGTAATCTTTGAGGAGCAGTTGACTGTGCATCATACCATCCTCTACTTCAACCATCCGGACCATCGAGGGTTGCCCTGCATTCATCGGTGGATAATACGTTCTCAAAATTCACTTTGATGTTATTTTCTGCCCATGCACTTTAGTCTCTTTTGACGATGGACGCTCTTCAAAGGAAGTCTAGTCACAGGTTTTCCACATTTGCTTATGCGCTTCAGGATGAGACATCTTGTACTTTTGGGTGTATGTGGTAGACCACCTGCCTCAAAAATTTCTTTGCTAATTTGGGGAGGGTTGCGGCGAATCTCTCTTTTCAAACGCTTGACCATTCGGGGACATACAACTGAGCTCCTCCGAGATTTACCTTTGTCTGACCTTCCATTAAACGATGCTGGGTTTGCAACAATTTTTTTTATCGTTCGATGGTCACGACTAAGTTTTTTCGCTATTTGGAGGGTTGCTTGTTTCGCATGAAGGCTCTGAATTATTGCTGTTTTTTCATTGTCAGTCAAAGTGACTTTTCTGCCCATGGTGCATAAAATTATTGGACAATCCCTGAATGTTAAAAGTCTGAAATATAATTGCTATCATTTGTTTACTAGTCCGCAGAACTGCACGACACACTTTGCACACAAAATTCTGTAAATTTCTTCTCAATACTGCCCTACATATTTTGGAAAAATATATTTGCATATAATTTTTGGACGCAGTGTATAAGTTTATGCGTCATTATTGAGTCATAATGAAATGACTTAATGGCAAAGCATCGATGGCCAATATTTTTATCATTTGGTACAAAATATAGTCATAACATTGCATGAAGGTGATGTCACCCGTTTTCTACCGGTGTTTATACACCCTACCACCTTAGCTGTTAAAATTTTAACATTTGAGGCTTCAGAAAAACATCAAAACAGTAAAAAATCTTCAAGTACAGAACCTCAAATATTCTTCGAATATATTATGCCGTTGACTGTAAAAGCTTCAGCCTCACGTGATTTTGAAGCGACAGTTTACATATAATTATAAATGATTTAATTTTTAAAAAACCCTTTTGGAAGTTATGAAGAGTGGTGTGAAAAGCCTTTCAATATGACTTTGAAAAACGACATCAAATATATAAATAAACTGCATCCTTCTTCAAAAAGCAAACACAGAATGTTATAAACAACTATACTATGGACATGTACCGATTTAAAACATTTCAAAACTTTATGCAGAATATAAATCGTTCCATTTTCGAGCAACCCTTTTTGTTTTGTTTTTGATAAATGTCTCTTGATGATTTTCATTGGATCTCTTATTAAATTTTCCCATTTTATTTGGTGTAATTTTTACAAACAGCTTTATAAAAAAGTTCTGTGAATTTGCAGTTAAATTGCTGACGTTATTATTGAAATAAAAAAATTCTGACTCAGCCAATCAGAAAGTTGCTGATTAACGGTTTCCACTCATTTAAATTTCGCGCATGCCCACAAGTAAGAAAACCACCCAACGTCCATGACATAGAATTTTCTTAACTTTGGATTCCGTTATGTTCTGTCACAATACTCGGGTGTAATTCCCAATCTCCGGACGGAATTAGTACCCTCGCACAGTGCTCAATGCTCCGCACCGGCTCGGGGATAATAGAGAAACATGTCTTTTTCTGCCAGTATTTAGCCATAAAAACCAGTCGCGCAGCTTGAAACGATGATTGCATTGGGGAAGTAGATCCGCGACTGAAATTCGTGGAGAATATTCATATGTTTATATCCACTTACCCTAAAAACAATAGCCTTGAAATGGAATCAGTGCGGCATATGACGATCATATATAAGAATATACAATTCTAATTAAATATAGGAAATATTGGCTCTGAATCTCACTACTACAATAGACTTCTATAACTCAATTAAATCGAAATTTTCACTTCTCTGTCTCCTATATCTCTGTTTTATCAGTCTCTGTCTCTGAACGTACGTTCTCTATCCTCTCTCTATTTTTTGATTGATTGACAAACTCCCAAAATAAAAAGCTAATTTTAAACTTTATGTCCTATGTCTACGACATAAACTTCCAGCAACGCCTCTAAACAGAGCGAGCCGTTTTTGACGAATCGCGATTACTCCATGCGCGTCTGATCTTGATAGATCGCGTCTCAAACTGTACTAATTTCACGTATTGGGAACCACCTTAACAAACGTACCATGGCTCCTTCGAATATATGACTGCATGCTTGTGAAGATGTGCTGTTCCATTTTAACTCACTGAATTTGGTCATCCTTTTCTCTGAGTAGCTGGTACTAGGAACGTGGCATGCTTGTAAATTTTGTCAATGGCTTTCTAGAATTATCTATATATCGTGTCTTGTTTATATGAGAACAATCTCCCAATCATTTCCTTCTCTGATTTCAGGGATTTTCAAGTTAATGATCAAAAACAACAATGGATCGAATAAAAAGCAAAGCTAATTATTCCCGGGTATGTCAACTGTTGGTAGATAAAGGAGGAGATGCTTTGAGAGCTGCACTAAATTCAGTGCATCCACCTTCCACCTTAGCTTCCGCATTGAATGCCAACAAGAAGACCCTGCTGGGAATACGATACAATATAATTAAAGCCTCGCAATGGGACTTACTCTTCCCAATATCTGGTGCACCAGATTCAAACAACTTCGATATCACCTTACTGACTGTCTTACTTCGAAATATTTGTGGATTGTCTCCACCAGCGACTGGGTGGAATGTTATGCCTCCAGTTAGCGATACATTTATATCAGCAAACATTTTGAGAGTCAAAATGTTCAGGAATGAAGTGTATGGTCATATTCCAACTGCAAGTTTGGACGACACAACGTTTGAAAAACTGTGGCAAGAAATTTCGGTACCGTTGGTCAACTTGGGAATTCCTCAAAAGGATATTGATGAGTTGAAAGTGGCTCCTCTCAGCCCTGAAGAAGAAAGTTATACTGAAAGATTAAAAGAATGGAAACAACAAGACGATGACTTGAAATCAGAATTAAGTGATGTTAGAAGTGAAGTAGTCAAGCTAAGAAAAACAGTAGATGAGAATGTTCATCACTCAACTGTCGAATCGAAACAACAAGACGATGACTTAAAATCAGAACTAACTGATGTTAAAAGTGAAGTAGTCAAGCTAAGAAAAAAAGTTGATGAGAATGTTAATCACTCAACTGTCGAAAAACTCGCTAAATTTGACTTTACTGGAAAGATTGACGACCTTTGTAAAAAATTTCATGACGGCACTAGAAAATGGTTGTTTGATAAACTCTCAAGTTGGTTTGTGAGTAAAGAAACCCGGGTTATGATCCTAACTGCAGGTCCAGGCGCTGGAAAAAGTGTTTTGTCTGGAAAGATCTTTGAGCTGTATAGAAAACGTGGCCAACTCGCAGCTCACCATTTCTGCGACTTTCGAAATTCTGATTACAGCAATCCTCACAGAATCCTCCAGTCCCTTGCCAGCCAAATGTGTGATAATGTTGATGGATTCCTTGATAAACTTACCGAAATCCTTCGTCGTGAACATTCTCGGGACTCGCTGTCTGACGCATTTCGTGTTCTTTTAAACGATCCACTACACTCTCTTCGCAGAAATGATCCAATGTTGATCATTGTTGATGCCTTGGACGAGAGCAAAACTGATATGAAGAGCGAATTTTTGGAGTTGATATCCGAGAAATTTTGTGAACTGCCTGATTGGATTAAGATATTCATTTCGAGCAGACCGGAGCTAGAAGTACGGAAGGTCCTTCAACATTTACAGCCGTTAGAAATCCGTCCTGATGATGAAGATCACAATCAAGATATTGAGGTTTTCATTCGTCATGAATTACTTAACCTTCTTGGTCATAGCATAAGGTCAGTTATTTCGAAGTGTGAGGGATCGTTTTTGTACGCTTATCACTTAGTTCATGAATTAAGAGAAAAGGGCTTGGGAATTGAACCCGACTTAAGTGATTGCATCCCCAGTGGTATTGCCGGATATTACGAAAAACAGTTCAAACGTTTGAAAAGCCGCCTCCAACTTTTAATGCAAGATACCTTTTCATCTATCTTAAAAAGTTTTATCAATGTTATTGCCGCCGCATTCGTGCCTCTCCCACTGAAAATTCTTTTTACATGCATGGGTCTGCCCTGGGAAAAATTCGAAATACGCACGGCGATTATCGACATTATGTCAGAAATTCTTCCAGTTTATGATGGTTGCCTGACTCTTTATCATAAGTCATTATGGGATTGGATGACGTTGAATGGGTATGAGAACATGCGTTTGTTGCAGATGTTAAGACGGAAATAGACGTCTTTGGCGTGCTTGTGAGAGATTCTGTGAGATAGAATCTTTAAAGTCTGTTTTAGAATTTCAAACTTCACCGGAGAATAAGTATGCTTTAAAAAATGGTAGAGGATATTTGATAAAAACAGGTAAGGTGGAGGAATTTCACTGGTTGGTGCATGTTGGCGTAAACTATTTAAGACTAAAATTTTTTTATTGGATCAACGATATTGATTTGAAGCAAATCCTTGACACGTATGGTAGTGTTCTTTCCAAAGATATTTATTACGGCATCATTCAACTGCATTCTTTGTTAGAAAAGATCGGAGATGTGTATTTTACGGCACAAGGCCGTCTAGCATATTGTGAGCGTTATTTGAAAGTTCTTGCAAACGGATACTTTGATTTTCACCAATATGTCTGTCCTAAAACGTTGCTAGAATATCTTGGTACAATAGATATTTGGATAGAACGTGTGACAATGAAAAGAATCATAATTTAAATCATGTCTCCTGTGCTTTAGTTGATTCATTTACCAGTTCTCTGTCACCGGACAATACGATGTTTGCCCTCTTAAAAACTCGTACATGGACAGTGCAAGTGCTTAAAATACCAAGCCTCGTGACTCTTTTCGAAATACAAGTGCATAAGACACGCAATTATATTGACCCCTTCTTTGCGTTTACTCCTGATTCCTCCTATTTGTTATGCAATTCAATTCGGTCATGCGTCCTTGTTAAAGAACAAAAGGAAGTACCCTTCATTGCACACGGCCCCGAAGACATTTGGAGTGGTTCTTTTTCTTCCTGTGGAATGAAACTTGCTACATCAGGGCCGGAATTGATTCAAGTGTGGGATGTAATGAGGAAAACCCTATTAGCAGAAGTTGACAATGTGAATTGTGAACCTGGGTGTCGTTGTTTGTTTAGTTTGTGTGGCTCCTACATTCTCCTTTTTGTTGGGGATGATGGTTGGGATGACGTCTCGGTCTTATCAATATGTACGGACTCATCAATATGCACGGACTCATCAATATATACGAATGTCTTGCGCTCTGACAATTTAGAAGAAGTGTATATTGAAAAGAATTCTGTTGCGCCGTGTTTGTCGAGTAAAGATTCTATTCAGATTTGTTCACCGGATGGCCTATTCGATAATGACGAACCATCCCGTTGGATTAGCTTTGATCATGTTTGCTTGCCATCTGGTGAGATAGTCTTTTTCTCTAATAAAGGCTGTTCAAAAATCTTTTTATGGAAGGGAAAAAAGTGTGCAGCATTTACCAATTACTCCTCCGAAGGTGTTGTAACTCTGATAATATACGATTTTGTAGCCCAAAAGGTGGTTGACGTCTTTCAGATTGATTGTTTGCCTGTTGGATTTATTTTCCTTCGCATTTCAAAATTAGAAGGGACGAACTTCCTTTTACATATTGGGGAACCAAGCCTTGTATTTATTATATCTCTTGAATCTCCTGATGCTTCTTTTGTCGACTACGGCGAAATAGATTGCTGTGCATTATCTCCGAAAAACTTGTATGTAGCGTGCTGTTTTAAAAATTGTATTCTTTCAATAAGAAGTATCGACAATGGGGAAACATTGCAAACTGTTGCACTGAAACAACAAGCAGTGGCGTGTTGGTGGTCTGAGTCGTATCTTTGGTTGGTCTGTGAAGGCGTGCTTGTTAAATATCCTTATGAACCTTTGAATTCAAATATCTTAGGAAATCAAACTGAAGAATCTATTTTAAATTTTAGTCGTGTTGTTAAGTTTACAAAAGATGTTCTTGTAATTAGCACTAATGGGAGAATTTCTATTTTAAAAATTTGTGGTGAAAATCTCAGTCATCAAGAAATACCTTCTTGGAATTTTGACGAGGCCCATAGTGAAAAGTTCACTTCTGTCGCAATAAGTTATGATGGGTGTGCTGTTATGTTACATTGCAATTTGAGGAAAATTTATGAATTGTGGGAAATAGAATGTGGCAACAGATGGTTTGTACGTTCAACGGGACAGTTGAATGAATCTGTTGATTGGTTCTGTTTAACTGGTACTAATATGACTCGTAGTTTAGTATTAGTGTCATCCGACAATCTATTAATTACCTGTGAGAATTTTGTTTTAAGTTCTATTGCGTTTCCAAGAACTGGTATAAGAATTGCGCATACTCTTCCTATTGGATCTTTTCGGAAGGCTTTTTACATGGATGCCGAAATTTTAGGTCTTTTCACTAGTGATATGATGCATTTTGTTGATGTGTCCGAAGGCAGAATCATATCCTCTGTAAGTTTAACTTTTGGTTTTCCCAATGGATATTTTCATTTTTTCCTCCCATCGACTTGTTCTTTTCTATCCGTCGGGAGATATGGTAACAAACGTTTTAGAGTTCATAACTTTAAAAAGTATTTATCGCCTCCTTTGCGTAATGATCCTGGAAAATGCGACTTTTTGTCTTAGATGAGGAAAGATCATGAATCATTAATTAATACTAAAAAAATTATTTCTTGATAGAAAATGTTCAGGTAGATAAGTATTGCCAATTAAACTTACGGATAATAACCCACAACTTAATTTGAATAAACGTCGTAATATTAGGGACAAACCAACAGATATGTCAAATGTTTGAACTGTGCCGATTTTGTTAAAAGAAATAAAAAAATCCATTTTTGACTAAATCTTGTATCGTCTTTATAGCATAAGAGTCGATTGATTCAAATATTTGCTACGAATGTACTTGTGGTAAGCGTGCAAATATACAGCTAATTCAAGAAACGGTTTCCATACACATACATGTGACGTCGCCAGCTCGTTAGGTCGGGTGGAGGATACTCGTGTATTTATGTTCTACATATAGTCCTAACACAAATCGATTGTTCTAGCGGTCAGTGAACATACATGGATATATAAATGTGCTCCTTAATATTGCTGGTACGTCACTGGTCATATAAAAGTCAAAACGCAAACTAACAAAAACAATTTCTTTCCGATTGTTTCATGGAAAATTATATATGTGCACGTGTAAATAAGTCTGCGTATGCACAACATACGTGGACCATTAATCTTTGCATACCTATAACCAAATATTCTGATGTTTAAAGTTTTAACTTGCTTGGCATTTCTTTTTTTTCTTGAGTTGGCTGTTTACGGCGATTTCTTGCATATATAACTTGGTTTACTCTGAGCAATGTCGTAAAAATTGAAATGATCGTTACCTGAGCAAATACTTTTCTTAGCATTGGGTAATTAAGGGCAATATATTCATCAAATAAAAACCTAAATTTTAGGTCATCTGATGTCGTTACTATAGTTAACCTCACGCGTAAGGCCCAATTACACTATACGGGGTCGCTATTGAATACAGTCAAATTTTTTGGCTGCTAAAAGGCTGTGAATATTTTTTATGTCTGATCCAAAAAAATCTATCAAATCTACCAAATCTATCAAACCAATGAGCTTTTACTACCAACCATTTCTTGTTAACGGCAAACGAAAGTGTCGTGAGCAGCTAATCCTGTGTCGTCTAATGTGGGCCTTAGTCACAGATAAAATTACTGTTACTTGTATATCTGCACAGTACTGTAAGTTTGTGCAGTTCTGATTTTATCCTGGAAATCTTGAGGCTAGATCATATTTAATCCCAGGTCATATATGGTGACCAATTTATACCACTTTCGGTATACTCGTTTTAATAATTGTGTTTGTTTGAAAATTATTGTTTAAGAATAAAAATTGTTTATTATTGGTTACTTTTCGGACATATTTTATGCTTGTCTTCAGATTTAAAAAATGAGGTTAGAGTTAAGTTTGAAGGCGATTAGATAAACTGCAGAGACTTTCGGGTATTCCTATATTTATTTAATCAGTTAAAAAAAAGTTAAAATAAAAAGGGAATGGACAAAGATAAAAACGTTCGAAACGAGGATGGTCGAATATGATTTGGTTGAACCAAGCTTCCCCAGATACTGTCAGAGATAAACTTTCTTAAGGCCCATTTACACGATCCAACTGTCGGATCAAATTCACTTTTGACGTATGGAATGTAGTTGGTTATTGATAAAGCAGTAGTACATTGACTTTTGTTCATTTGTTGTCCACATACGTTGCAATTTAACAGACTATAAAACATCCATCAGAAGTGAGTTGGATCAGACAAAATTGGATCCTGTGAACAGACCTTGAGGAAGCTTATGAGGGTATATAGAAGAAAAAACAATTGAAAAGTTATAATGTTTGCCAGAAATATTCCATTTAATTAACTGGTAATCTTTTCTTATTAGTAGAAGAGCTTCAACCAGCAACAATATCGAACACTTAAAAATGACTAATCTTTTGATTATTAATGTTTTTTTAACTTTTAACTTTTTCTTATTACTCGTAAATCCACATCTGTCGTATGTATCTAAACACGTCGTTGTCCGAAAGTCAATCTTTTTATGATTGTATAAATCTTATTACTCTCTTTGATTTCAGACAATTTAGAACTATGGTTAGGATTATCAGCGTGTAAATAAATAAATGCGTTAATGATTGTCTTTGCGTTTGTTATAAAAAGATTTCAAAGAGGAAAGATGCTTCCAAGAACAAACCTTCGCGGCTGTACGTCAAGATAATTCTGCTACTAGAATTACAGTAGGAGGCAAAAGTTTGAGTCCAGTGACTGTATTTCTTTGTTTCAGCAGCATATATTAATATTCTACAGAAAACCTTACCGATAAGTGAACTAGAAAAAAGTAAACAAGTAAACAGAAAAATACATGCTGTACAACAACTATGAGATGTTATGATATTCATTTTTACGTATTTTAATGTGCAAACATGCATTTACATGTCATTGCTTAGTTCCCTCTTTTTTGCTCTTGAAATGACCTTTATTCTTGCTCGCATAGATTCCATAGGTTTTTTAATGTCACACGTTCAATACCTTGCCAGCATTCGTTGACCACTTGCCTCAAGTCAGCCTGGCTGGCGGGTCTGTGCCTCGCCCTCTTCCGGTTAAAACGGTTCTACAAGTGCTCCATAGGTTT